GTGAAACTGTATGATATGATTTATGTAAAAGAAAAAAGAAAACAAAATTGAGTTAGTGTGAAGATGTGGTTTGAAAAATATATATTTCTTTTACGGTTTTTCATTTTTTTAACACACGATTTTTATTTCTACACATTTTGAAATTAGGTATCTACAACAAGGTGGGTAAGGCTCTATCTAAGTTTGACTTCGTATGGCTCATTGCATGCTTGATTTGGATCGACACGATTTAAAGGTTCTTAAATTGCTCCTTATTGTCGTCCACGCTGAATTAGTAAGACACTTCTATCTTCACCCATTATAGGCTACAAATAGAAAGAGTTCAATTTGAGTATAAGTATTTCACTTGCCATTACGGAGGTTATCACCTTACGAAAGCATAGGTACTTTACTTCCTCCTAGAAAGGATAGAGCCCAAGTATAGAAGCTCATGCATAAAGTACAACGTGTCATCATATGTGCAAATGTCTCCTAATTTATTGAGAATAATTATATATATAAATTAAACAAAAAGCATAGTTAAAGAAATAATGCATGTGAAATTTTCTTTTTGTTTTCAATTTGTTTTGATTTTTTATTAGTTTTTTTTTAAAGAAATAAAATCAAAATCAAGAAAATTAAAATTAAATACCAATTAAGACTGTTTAAATCAAAATTGAGGATACCATGTAATCAATTTTTAGCCTGACTTTAAAAAAAATGTCATCCTTAGTGGAATCACCAAACTATCGTAATGATTTTAGAGCCGCCCGACGAATTATGAAACAACAAGAAAAAAAAAGAGTTGTTACAAATCTTTTTTCAGCTAGGTACGATTAGTCACCTATTAAAATTTACTTTTAATAAAAATCTTAAAATTAATTAAAATGTATTAGAAAGATAATTTTAGGGTCTGTTAAACAGTTTAGGTTCGAAAGTTGATTATATATGGAGAAGGATTAGCACCCTCATAGTGTCCGTATAAAATGGTATCAATTAATTACATGTTATTTTTTAATCTTGACAAGAATGGTCATAGTTTCGGTGTTTAAAAATAATTTTCTTGATTTACTTTATTTGTCATAGTTTTGGTTTATTTATTATTATTCCATTTTATTCAAAAAAAAAATTAAAGCCCTTTTATTGAAATAATTATTAAAATGTTCCAATCCATTGATAATATTAAAAGAACTTTTCCTCACCTAGAGATTTCATAAGCATCGTTTCTTGGAATACTTTAGAATCTCATTTCAAAGACTTGTATTTATTTTTTCTAAAAATAAGATCATGCATGCAATGCGAATGACAATTTGTTAATGCACACATTTTATTTTTTTCTTTAAAAAATTTATTAGTTTTTTATTTTTATATTTTTGGAAGAAAAGAGAAAATTTTATTATATTGAAAATTTGTAATAAATATTTTAATACATTGATAGTATTTAAAAAAATCTTTTCACCTAGAGATTTTTTAAACCATCACTACTCAAATACCTTAAAATCTCATCATGAGATAAATATTTCTTTTTCTTATTTTTTAATATTTTTATTCTTATTTTAGTTAATTTTTTATAAAAAAAAAATTTTATTGTATTGAAAACTTTTTAAAAATACTCTAATATGTTGGTAGTATTTAAAAAAAATATTCTCACCTAAATATTTCTAGGCATCGCTACTTGGAGTACCATAGAATCTTATCATCGGATAAAAATTTTCTTTCCTTATTTTTTAATTATCTTTTTAAATGTTTTTACTATTTTATTCTTTTTTAAAGAAATAGAGGAATTTAAAAATTATAAAAATGTTATTTATTTACTTATTATTTTAGTCATTATACCTTTATTCTTAAAGAAAATTTTTGTTTTAAAAATTTTATGAAATTTAAAGTTATTGAAACTTTAATCTTTATTTAAAAAAAGTTAAGAGATTATTTTGGAACACAGATATATAAAATAAAATAGTATTAGTAAAAAGAAAAATAAATGAATAAATAAATAACATAAATAAGAAAAATACCTAAACCAGATTGGTTAATGGCTCAGGTTGATTCACGCGATTTGGACAGTCTAGAAGTGGTTCAACAGTAGCTCAGGCGATTCAACAAGTGGTTTGAAAGATTTTAGCCAGTTCAGGAATGGTTCTGTTGAACAGTCTGGGCTGAGGGAAGAAGGGGGTCACTAGGTCGAGTGTGTGGACCTTGGGTCAGGTCACAGGTCCACGTGTAGATCTTGAACTTCTTAAACAGTGACGTTTTGGTTTTATTTTTTTCTTATAAAAGGACCAAAATTTTTTTAACTCATTCCACCCTTTTGTAAGAAAAAAAAAACTTCATGCTTAAAAATATTTTAAAGTCTTCTACATCAACCTAGAATTCGATGCGGTGCCATCATGCCTTCATTGCTGGTGGTCGTCGGTGACCCAAAAAAGCCCAAAAAACACCCAATTGATCCTATTGACCCCTTTATCCCCTTTTTGACCTCCTCTTAGCTTGAAACCACCCCAAGCTTCCTAAATCTAAGTAAAACCATTCAGCTTCACTAAAAAAAAACCCTAAATTTTTTTCTTTCCTTTTTATGTTTTTTGGATTTCTTTGTTAATTTTATTTATGTTGGCACTAGGTTCCCTTACCAAAGAGGTTGTGTTTTTTGTTTGTTTGCATGATTTGTAGTGGTTTGAGATTTTTTTTTTTATTCTAGCAAAGGCCTTATTTTTTTTTTTTGATAGTTTTTCTTGGTTTCTTATTTTGTAGATGTAGATACCCCATTTAGTTAGGGGTTTTTTTTAATTTAATTTTAGGTTTTTAGTATTTTATTTAGTTTAAGATTATTTATTTTTTTAATTAGTTGATTTATGGCTTTTAAAAAAGAAGAAAAGAAACAGTTTGTTTTAGTTTGAAGTCTAGTGTTCTAATTAAAAAATGTATTAGGTTAAGAGGTGGACTTGGATTAAAAATCCAAATTTGACTTTGATTAGGAGATTGAAACCAAAAAAACCTTATTCTATTGTGATTTGGATTAGAGACCTATAAAAAGACCCCATTATGATCAATTAGAAACAACCAAGAATCAATTTGAAAAATCAAGGGAGAAAGAGTAAAAATAAAGCATAAAAATTGAGAGTTTTTTTATACTCTTTTCTAGTGTTTTAGGTTTAGAAAATTAAGATTTTCTTTTGGGAGTTCTGTATTAGGGAAAGGAGTTAAGAAGAAATATAATTACCAAGGCCTATGTGCTTTAGAATCAATCTTGATTCAATCTTTGGTATTTGCTTTTTACTTGTCTTTTTTTTTTAAAGTCTAGTTATCTTTGTATTTTATAATAATTATCTATTTATTTATTTGTTTGTTTATTGGTTTATTTTATTTATTTGACTATTTATGTCTAATTTTTAGGAAAAATTAGAAAGTATTTAAAAAAAATAAAATAAAACATTAATAATTTTTTTTAGAATAATTAACAATTATCCAAGGATGAAAATCTTAGAAATTTCAAATGGTAAATTTTCTAAGAAATCTCTATATGAGAAATTTTTCTAAATTTGACCCAAATTGTGAAATAATTTAGATGAAATTTCAATAAAAATAATTATATTTTTTGCAAATAAAAAAATTTAAAATCTAAAAATAAAACTTAAAAATTTTGTTGAAAATATTTGACAATTATCCAATGATGAAATCCTAAAAAAATCACAAATGGTTAAATTTTTATAAGATTTCAAGGTGAAAGGTTTTTTTTTTTTTTCTAAATTCAACCAATACAGTGAAAGAATTTAAATGAGACTTCAAAAGATAATTTTCATACTATTTTCTTTCCAAAGATTAAGAAACTAACAAGAGTTTAGATTTTAAATAGACCCAAATGATAAAAAATTTAGAAATAAAACTTGTAAAATAAAAATAAATTTTGATGATGAAATTCTTAATAATCACAAATGAATGATTATCTAAAATATTTCTATGTGAAATTTTTTTTAAATTTTGACCAAAATGGTGGAAGAATTAGATATATTTTCAATAAAAACAAAAAAAAAATGATTAAATCTCTTTTCGACGACAAAGCTTCTTCAAAAAAATAAATGAGATTCTTGAATACATTTTAAGTGAAGAAATATTTTTAAAAATTCTTCCAAATTGATGGAGTAATTTTAGGAGCCTTTTTCAATATTTAAACATTAAAATAAAGATCATTAGAACCAAGATGATTGTTAGGATAATTTAAAATTAAATGGTACCATCTTAAGATGGGCATGTGGGGGTATTATATCGTTTCTTGCATGTAATCGAACTCTCGAATCTTGTTATGATTAGTAGATCAGAAACTATTCTTTAAGGACCCTTAGTCAAACTTAAGAGTTCTTTAAAATGATAGATTCATTAGGTGACTAATCACACTTAAATAAAAATAAGTGATAACTATTATTGTTAACTTTAACTATATATTTATGGATCTATACGTTATGAAGTAGAGTTCTTTGTATTTTTAGTGGTTTTTTTTTTTTGTTTTTTGAGAGTTTTTCTCTTTTTTTTTTTAGGGGGGTTATGGGGTTGGCGATGGTGACCTTGGTTTAGCGCAGGGGATTGAATGGTGGCTGTGTTTAGGGTTGGGTTATGTGGCAATCAATGGGTAGTTGTGATGGATGAGGGTGTATTGGGGTTTTTGCGTTTACTAATGATGAGGGGCTGGTGTTGGATTTAGGTTTAATCTAGTGGTGGAAATTTGTGGTAGAATCTCCTTTTTTTTTTTTTTTTTTTTTTTCATCCCTCTTCATCCTTATTTGTGTAAAAGGATGGTGGCAGATGTGGCCATTCGAGAAGGTGAAGTTGGTGACTAGCAGGGTATGGGTCTTAGGTGGCAAGTGGTGTATGGCAATTAAAGAGGTTAGTACTATGGATGGCACCGTATTGTTTTCTTTTTTTTTTTTCTTTTTTTTTTGTTGGATTATTTTGATTATTATTATTTTAATACCATTTAAAAATTAACAAATAAAAATTAAATTGAAGCTAAACAAAATAAGCCTTCAAATGAGTTCTGTTTTGGTTATTAGGCCAAAAAATTGAAATCGAGTCTAAATCCAAAAAATTCACGCTCACAAATTTAAATTGAGACCTAATTCAACGAACCCTATTATGTATGCATAAGTCAACGTCTAGTTGTTTTTTGTTATTGGTTTGGAAACTGGTCTTCCAACTTGAAGTTCCATTCTCTAATATTAACTAATCTGACAGAGTAATTCATATAAGAATTTGATGTTGGTCAAAAGTTATAAAGAGGTAACTGACTAAGGACTCTGGCATTGAACCCAAACAAACGTGGGTCCTTTCCTTCCCAAAATTAAGCCCAATCTTAGCATATCCATGAAAACTTGATCAACACAGAATTTCCCTCTCTCTCCCTCACTCTCTCCGTTGGACGATTAGAAGAGAAATGGCTTCGGGGGAGAGGAATCTCCTCCTCCTTAATTTCTTAACTGTGGTTTCATTGTCAATTCTCTGTGCCGACAAAGCTTTTTCCATTCGGATCTCAACCGCGCCTAGGGAACTATCAGATCAGTCCCTGAAAACCGCGGTTTTCGCTCTCGGTAGCTTCTGGAGATCGGAAGCCGTCTTCGGATGCTTAAACGGTGTCGTTCGAACTACTGCTGGTTACGCTGGCGGATCCAAAATCAACCCCGCATACAGAAGCTTAGGCGACCATGCCGAGTCTGTATTGGTTCGTGATTTCTCTATTTATTTTCCTTTCATTGTTTCATATTAGATAAAACTTAGTAGTAATATTTTGTTTATGATTCCTGAGAACATGTAGACAATGGATCTGTTATTTATTTAGTTGCTGAGTTTGTGATATAGTAGTTTATACTGTTGTTTTTGGAACGAATTCATCCAAAAGATAAAAGAAATTGAAAAGATGGTTTTTAATTTCCATTTGAATTTGATAGAATATGGGTATGTGAATGATGAACAGGTTGAATATGATCCAAAGGAGATTAATTTCAGGCAACTTTTGGAGATTTTTTGGTCTAGTCATGATCCAAGACAGGTTTTTGGCCAAGGTCCAGATGTTGGTAATCAGTACAGGTAACCATCATGACCAAAAAACCATATTATTTCTTAATAATCCGTCCTTTTTAATGATAAGCTTTCATATCTTAATTCAACAGGTCTATTATTTTTACGAATGGGGCTGAGGAGGCTAGATTAGCTGCAATGAGCAAAGAAAGCGAACAAACCAAGTCGCGGAGCAGCATTGTGACAACTCAAATTCAACAACTTGGATCATTTTACCCTGCGGAACCTGAACATCAGGTTTATTGCTCTCCCATTTCCCTTTATTGTTTGAGAGAGGCAGTAAGGAGCTGACATTGCGTGAGTATTCGTTGTTGTAGCTTATGATCCACAAGCTGCTTCAAATTGTCAGTTGCTTTAGAATATAATGTGCAGAACTTGTTAATTGGATACAATTGAACCTCATTTAACACGTTGGTTGGGTTGGATGCTTGTTTAGATTTCTGTTATTAGGAGCATGCTGATAATTATGGAGGTTACTGTAAACTAATTTGAATTGCATCTCAGTTTGGAAGAAAATTGTTTGTGCTCTTGTCCAGTTGCAATCTTTTTGTTTCAATTGCCATTATATTAGTGGTCTTCTATTCATTTTTTTTTTTTTGTTTTTCCTCAATGCTTAAAACTTTTGCTTTTAGACCAGTTTAATTGGCGGGCTTAAGCATGACCTCTTTGTTATAAAAATTATCAACTGATAACCACTAACTTGGTTTTCTATGTGCATATGTATTTGATGATGGAAAAAGTATGTTATCATGCACAGATATGCTATTGCCTATTGATAGATTTAGAAGGTGAAAGGATTTATGGCTCTGATAGGTGAATGACTGAAACATTTCAATGTTTTAAATGTGTAGAAATTTGAGCTCAAACGCCAGCCAATGCTTTTACAGTTGATCGGAAATCTGTCTGAAGATGACCATGAGAAGTCTAATCTAGCAGCAAAACTGAACGGATATGCTGCAGAGCTTTGCCCCCCAAAGATACAAAGGCGGATTGATGCGAAGATCAGTGAAATTATTAGAAAAGTTTGGCCTGTTTTGAGAGATGTATAGCCTGGTCATAGGAGTAGGTTTTAGACGAGTGAAACTGGTTCTGCTTTTCAGGCAGAGCGACTTGATTTTGTGGGTTTATCAATCTGAGGTGAGCTTCGCATAGGTTTGATTGTTTGGATAGAAATTGGATCAAATGTTGTACTATTATTTTGCAGATTCTCTGGGCATAAAAGAAAAGCCTATATTTAGGATATTTTAATGATTCAACCAGTTGGTGTGCTTTATTAATCCCACCAAATCCCGTGACCTCAAGTGTTGATCTTAATTCGGTTAAGGATGTTAGTTTTAACCTTTAGGTATGGTAATGGTTACTGATTAGACTTTAGAGCATTGTCCAACTTTATCAAGTAGGAATATAGTATCTTCAATCAGATTCGGATAATAAAATTATTATCCATCATTGGTTCTATAGTGATATTAGGATATTCATTATCTAGTGATATTAGGATATTCATTATCTGAACTCGATTATGCATAATATATATTTTCAATATTATATATTTTTTATATAATTAATATATATTTAATTAAATTAATTCATTAAATATTTTAATTATGAGTTTTAACTTTAATTTATTTTTCATGAGTTCAATTTAAATTTTTTTAATAATATGCATTAAAATTGTTTTTTTTTCTTAATACAATGGAAGGGCAAAGACCCTTTAAGGAACAGCTAATCTAATCTATGGTAACCAACACGCGTTAAATCTGCCAAGTAGCAGAGTTCTCAATCCAACCGGTGCCAGATGACGAATTTGTAATCTGGAGATGTGTCAAGCGTCCATTGGCCAACCAGTCAGCTACGAAATTCTTCTGTCTAGGAATATGAGACAGTTTCCCGTTCCAATCTTTATTCAGGAGGCTTTTGATTGCTTGGATAATAATGGGACAAACGAGTGTTCTGCTTTATTAATGTCTAGGAACTTAAAGGAGTCTTATTCTATCTCTGTTTTATCTAACCCATATCTTTTGCAAGCTTGGTTCCATGAAAGATTCCCCACAGCCAAACTTGATTCCATTAAAATTGATTTTAAATATAAGTATGAAAAGATAAATTTTGATTTAATAAATGGATATTTAATAGATTTGAATAATTATATAATATTTTCTATATTATATGAATAGATTTGATAATTAAAATATGTGAGAGAACATTTATTTATAATTAGTTATAATCTTGTAATCTGTATATTTATATTTGTATATTTAGAATTAAGTATTTGTATCCCTAAAATTAAAGACAAAAGATTAAGATAAACAATCCCTCAATTATATGATCAGTTTTTAAGAAGATTTAGTTTTTCAGTTTAACTCTTAGTTAGTTGTGTATAAACCTAAAGTTATTGTATAATTTTTAATGAGTAGTTTTTTAATATATATTCAGTTTTTACTCTGAGTTTTTTACATGGTATCAAAGCTTTAGGCTCTTCTTAGGAAGTAAAATTTTTAGCCTTCATTGCTGACTTCTATTTTAGGCCTTCATTATCGAACCCTATCTAGGCCTTCATTGTTGAACCTTGTTAAGGCCTTCATAGCCATTTTATTTTTTCCTTCTTTAGCCTTCATTGCTAAGAGTCATTTCTGGTTATATTTTAAGATTTGTTTCAATTCAAAAAAAAAAAAATCACTACCACCTAATTTGAGGAAGTGTCAATTGAAAAAATCACTGTAGTACTATAGATGTATCGAAAACAAAGAGAGTTCGACAGAAAAGAAATTGAAAAGCTAAGAAACCTATTAAAAACCCTAGAAAAGCCTACTATGGTATGTTCTTTGGGTAAGGTCTTTAATTCAGGTAAAGTTTCTGGTTCTCATAAATTAAATATCTTGGTTAAGCCTATTACGAATTCTTGGGTCATTAACTCAAGAGCCACAGATCATATGACACAATTCTCACAATAGTTTAGTACATATACCCTGTGTCCTAGTAATAAGAAAATTATTCTTGCAGATGGTTCACTTACTACAGTAGTAGGATTAGGAGATGTTCAAGTTAATCCCACATTTGTTCTCAAAAATATTTTTCATGTTCCTGGATTGTTTATTAATATGATATCTATACAAAAACTTACCAGAGATATGAATTGTAAAATGACTTTTTATCTCTCTTATTATGAATTTCAAGATCGAAGTTCAGAAAGAAGATTGGACTTGTTAAGAAAAAAGATGGACTATACTATCTTGAGACATCAAATAATATAAGTAATATCAAGAATAGTTTACTTTGTCATTTCTTTTTGAATAATCTTCAAATAAAGATAAAATCTAGCTTTATCATTTTCGTCTTGGACACTATTCTTTTGAAACTTTGAGAAATATGTTTCCTTCTTTGTTCAAAGGATTAAATATTGAAGATTTTCATTGTGATATTTGTGAACTTGCAAAGCACAAACGCGTGTCTTTTCCAATTAGTAACAAAAAAAGTTTTACTCCCTTTTACTTGATTCATAATGATATTTAGGGTTCCTCTACAATTCTTAATATTTTTGGTGCAAGATGGTTTGTTTCATTTATAGATGATTGTACCAGAGTCTTTTGGATTTTTTAACTTAAATTCAAATCAGATGTGAATAATATTTTTTTAAGCTTCCAAAACATGATCCAAAATCAATTTGAAATGAGAATCAAGAAATTTAAGTTTGATAATGCAAGAGACTATTTCAACCAGAGTCTATCCATCTAGTTTCAAAAGAAAGGGATTATCCATGAGTCATCTTATGTTAATACTCCACAGCAAAATGGAGTGGCAAAGAGGAAAAACAACCATTTACTAACCACAACCCGAGCTTTCCTTTTTCAAGCAAATGTACCCAAATCTTATTGAGGGGAAGCTATTCTCACTACCACATGCATTATAAATAGGTTGCCTTCAAGGGTTTTAGGATTTAAAACTCCTATGAAACTATTATCACAATTCTATCCTAACCTTAATACCACAAACAACCTCACACTCAGGATATTTGGTTGTACATCATTTATTCATGTTCATTGTCATAATAGAGGAAAGTTGGATCCAAGAGCGATTAAGTGTATCTTTGTGAAGTATTCATCAACTCAGAAAAAGGTATAAGTGCTATTATCCTCCTACCAAAAAATTTTATATGTTTACAGATGTCATTTTTGAAGAAAGTAAACCATTTTTTACTCAACCTTATCTTCAGAGAGAGACTTCATTAATAGAAGATAATGATAATGACTTTTTTTTTGCTTGGTTTGTCCTCTTTTTCAACATTTTCACTAATTAATTCTTCTGAGTCAAAACATGTTTCTATTGAACCTAAGTCAAACACTGAATTTGAGTCTAAACCCATTCCAAATACATAAGATGTGACAAAAGATAATATTGTTCTTGATTCTATGAAGGAATTACAGGTGTACTCAAGAAAAAAAGTTTCAAATCCTGAACCAGTGCTAGTCCAAGAATATGATCCTAACTTTGAAAATGAAGTAACTATAGTTTTTGACTCTGTTTCTCAAAATGAGCATGAATATCTTAAAACTATAACTAGTGATTATGATTTACCTATTGCTATTAGGAAAGGAACCAGATAATGTACTAAGCATTCACTATACCCAATCTCTAATTTTGTGTCATTTGAAAAAGTTTTACCATCCCACAAAAATTTTTTTGTGAGCCTAAACACTAATTTTGTTCCAACTACATTATTCGAGGCATTAGCTAGTGAGAAATGGAGGCCTTAGAGAAAAATAAGACGTGAGAACTGGTAAAGTTACCTAAAGGAAAAAATCCAGTAGGGTGTAAATAGGTTTTCACTATAAAATACAAGGCAGATGGTATTATTAAAAGGTATAAAGCCAAGTTAGTGGCTAAGGGCTACACTCAAACCTATGAAGTGGATTATTAAGAAACTTTTGCTTCAGTTGCCAAGATGAATACAGTTAGAATTTTATTATCATTGGCTACAAATTACAATTGGCAGCTTCAACAATTTGATGTAAAGAATATTTTTCTACATGGTGATTTGGAAGAAGAAATATATATGAAGGTTTCACCTAGATTTAGAGATCCTCTAGGAGCAAACAAAGTATGCAAGCTAAAAAAGGCTTTAAATGGCCTTAAACAGTCTCCTAGGGTTTGGTTCGGGAGATTTGCCAAAGTGATGCTGGCAATGAGATATAAACAGAGTCAAGGAGATCACATATTGTTTATCAAGCACTTTGATTTAGGAAAAGTCACAATTCTATTAGTGTATGTTGATGATATAGTTACAATTGGAGATGATGAAAAAGAGAGAGAATCTCTAAAATAATGTTTGGCTAGAGAATTTGAGATAAAAGAGCTAGAGAGATTGAAGTACTTTCTAAGAATTGAAGAAGCTCACTCACGCCATGGTATTTTCATCTCACAACAGAAATATGTGATGGATCTTCTAAAGAAAATTGGAAAGTTCGCATGTAAACCTATAAATACCCATGTAGATCTTAATTATAAAATTGAAAATGCCACTATAGATAGAGAGATGTACCAAATATTAGTTGGAAGACTCATTTATCTCTAACATACTAGACTAATATAGCATACGCTGTGAGTGTGGTAAGTCAATTTATGCATAATCCTAAAGAAGTACATATACAGGCTGTCTATTATATATTGCACTATTTGAAGACCAATCCTAGGAGAGGTATCTTATTCAAAAAAATTCGGGGTTAGTTCTAGAAGCATATATAGATGCTGATTATGCAGGTTCAGTAATTGATGAAAGATTCACCTCAAGTTGGACTTTCTTATGTGGTAGTCTTGTGAATTGGAAGAGTAAAAAATAAAATGTAGTAGTAAGATCAAGTGATGAAACAGAGTTCAGAGCAATGGCTCAGGAATTTGTGAACTATTATGGTTAAAGATTATCTTAGAAGACTTGAAGATCAAGTGAGATAGACCAATGAGACTTTACTGTGATAACAAGTCTGCAATAAGCATTGCACACAATCTTGTGCAACATGACAAAATAAAATACATTGAAGTAGACCGACATTTCATAAAGGAAAAACTAGACAGTGGGTTGATTTGTACACCTTAAGTATCAACCAAGGTTCAACTTACAGATATATTGACTAAAGGTCTCAGCAGTGCAACATTTCAAGAAATTATTTTCAAGTTAAGAATGAAAAGCACCTATTCACCAACTTAAGAGGAAGTGTGAAAAAACACTTATTTACAGTTGGTTGTAATCTTGTAATATGTATATTTATATTTGTATATCTAGAATTAAGTATTTGTATCCCTAGAATTAAGGATAAAAAATTAGGATAAACAATCCCTCAATTATAGGATCAATTTTTACGAAGATTTAGTTTCTTAGTTTAACCCCTATTAGTTGTTTATAAACCTAAAGTTCTTTTATAATTCTTAATGAGTAGTTTTTCAATATATATTTAGTTTTTACTCTTAGCTTT